TTTCAGTTGGAAAATTCCAGATCAATAGCAAACTGTTTTTCTATGGCTGCAGCTGGTGGCCTGGGCCAGATGACAACATCTCCCTCTCCACTTACTCATTTATGTCACCTGCTTCCCAGAGGCCTCTGAGCATGACACTCTTCCACAACCCCTGAGACAGTTCTAAGAATCTCAGAGCAGGCTGGCCTTATCTGCAGATGCAACCAACTGTGGAATGAAAATATTAGAAAAAAATTGCAACTGTACAGAGCATGTAAAGGATTTGTGGTTGGCCATTGGCCTCTGCATGATATAATCTAATAACTATTTACACAGAACTGGCTATGGTAAGTAATCTAGAGATGGTTTAATATGTTCCTGCCGGCTTGACCCATCAGTGGTACATGCGTGATTATGCACTAGTGTGTAACACTGGTGGTTCAAGTGGTACAGTGGTGCATGGGACAATCATACAGTTACTTCTGGAGGTACAGGTGGCCCGACAGTGAGACCTATAGATTATGGCACTGCTGTGAATGTGTTAAAGCACCCGGGGGGTGGGGGGGAATAGCTCAGCAACACAAGTGCCTACCTGGCAAGCATAAGGTCCTGAGTTCGATTCCTAACACCAAAAAAAATAAAAAATAAAAAAATAAAGTGTACAGGGGGATGTGTGTAGGATATATGCCAGTACCATGCCATTTTTTACGCATATCTGGGATCCTTGGAAATCCTGTATCCAAACCCTGAGCACTGAGGAATGACTATGCCAAAGATCCCATACTTAGCAAGGCATGGTGACACACACCTGTAATCTCAGCAATTGGGAGGCTGAAGCAGGACAATCACTTTGAGTTCAAGGTCAGCCTGGCTGTTACATAGTGAGTTCCAGGCCATTCTGAATTACATAGTGAGACCCTGTGTTTAAAAAAAAAGAAAAAAACGAAAATAAATAAGATCCAATGACTATATTCCATCCCCCTCCCCCTTTTTCCTATGGTGCTGGGAATTGAATCCATGGTCTCATGCATGTCAGGCAAGCACTCTGCGACTGAGCAACATCCCCCGACCCACCTTCAATTATAAAATATTGAGTCATCAAAGTTCTCAGATTGAGGGAACTGATTTGAGATTTAGTGTTTTGAGATTTTATTATTATGACAATCAATATTTTATGAATACAGTGGTCCATGTTTCCCAGATACTCAGTCCCCTGGGTCTATGCTGCTATGGGTTTAATGTTTTAAAAGTTTAGGATTATAAAATTATGCATGTGTGACAGTTTAACGTTCTTACTTTCCAAAGCCTGTGTATATATAATCCTAAAATCTAAGGGTCTTCAGTTTTGAAGGTCTATCTTTCTAAGATTCTATAATCACAAAGTTCTCTTTTTTTCAAGTTTTCTAGTTTTGTTGATATTGTTCCTGAAACACTGAAGTAAGGTGATGGACCCTCCCAGCTGGCCGAGATTAAGATTTTCAATGGTAAAACCATGAGAATTTGATCCCTCTACATCCATGTTCCCAGCATCCTGTTTCCATTTTTTTTTCTTTTGTTAAGGTTTTGGTGCTGCAGATAGAACCCAGGGCCTCAAATATGCTAGGCAACTGCTGTATACCACTGAGCTATATCCCCAGACTGTTTTCAATCTTAAAAAGGTTTACATTATAAAGTCTTTTAAAAATTAAGGGGCCAGGGGCTGGGGATGTAATTCAGTGGCATAAGCCCCTGCCTTGCAAGGGGTTGTGGTTGTGAGTTCGATCCCCAGTACTGATTTAAAAAAAAAATTAAGGGACCAAGGAGATAGCATCTGCCTGTGTGAATTCAATTCCTGTACTCAATAAATAAACAGATAAATAAGTAAATGGTCCTAAGAATCTATGTACATTAGAGTTTCTTTTTCTAAGGCTTTAAGACACTTGGCAGCAATGACTAAAATGTCTAAGGTCACTGACTCTAAAGCTCTGTATTTCCAAAAGTCTCCATGGCTAAAGGCCTAAATCTCTGACATTTATAACACTCCACAGTCCTACAGTCCAAGTATGCTGCATGGTGGGATCCTACAGGAGTACTGTACCATACTGCAGGAGTAGTATGTTTATCTTCCCAGGATCATTATCCTGCCTGAGAGAGCTAAGTGTAATAATGGATATGACTGAAAGCAGCCTCACAGGTAGCTCACTGTTGGGTGTGCTCTGATGGATCATCATGTCCTGACCATCAGTAGCATGTTTTGCTGCCTTTCACCTGCTTGTGTTAATATCTCTGCTTCTTTTGAGTAGGAATTAAGCACTGGGGTTCCAACACACCCTCAGCCACCATGCCCTTAATTTGAAGCTAAAATGAGGGAGGATGAGCTGACTCTTCTGAAACCATGAACTAAATTAACCCTTTCTCTTAAAACTTAAGGTAGCATGTAGTTTGAAGAAATAGTAACAGAGCAGTGTAGAGAAATGCACTTATTTCTATAATTACAACCTAATATGTATTTTGTGAGCCTTTGGAATTGGTTTCAAGGATGTTTGAAAAATTTTGAAAATGAAGGTCTGCGAAGCTCTAGATTGTTTAACAGAGGCCAAATGAGTAATGCTACTCAAAGCTTAGACAACCAACAATAAATGCTAAGATGAGCAGGTTTCAGTTGAAAGCAGAGGCCCTATTGACAGATACATGATACCAGAAATAATGATTATAAAAGTTAATAATAATACCTTTACATTTTTATGTATTGTATGGCTTTTCAGAAGATTTAGAATGAGTAAGGGACTGATCTTGTAAAGATACGTTGAGGCTCACAAATCTGAAGCTGTGGCACATGCACTGCTAGCTGCCTTTAAACTGGTGTATGGTGTGAGTTGGGGACAAAAGTTAAAAGCTAAAACTTAAATAGTGACCCAAAATAAACTTTATAAACTTGTGGTTGAAAGAAGTGTAGTTGCTGAAGAGATTAGTGCCATTAAAAAGAAATCAAGTACTCTGTACAGTAATGAGAAAAAGAGGCTTTGAGGGTAGCTCAAAAATTAGCAAAATCCCACCCACTGTTGGATGAGGGAAACAATGTCTGAAAGCTTCACTTGAAAGAGTTCGGCACCCTTATTTGAGAAGGGGCTCTCCAGGAACTGGCTACCAGGGATTCCTTCATGTTGTTCAGATACCTAGACACTCAGTGCCCACTCCACTCTTGTCCACATAGACCTGACTGGGACTCCTGTTGACAGCAGAACTGGGTGTCACTCAGGCAATTATGGTTTTACCGATATGCAGAAGGCAAGAGTTATGAGTCAGAGGGTCTCCATCCAGATTTTAGAAGGTCTGAGATGCCATCAAAGTGGTCCCTGAGGGGGCAGTGTGTGAATCTATGGTAAGGAAATCAAAGATACAATTGACTCCAAATATAGACAGCCAGTAATGTGAATATTTACAGAGAAAAAAAACTGGCCACGATCAGAGAGAATTCAAAAGAAAAGTCTCATGGGCTGCAACCAGCAGTAAGATGTGCTCTGCAAGTCCTGTTATTGCATTGATCATTGTATGCTGCATAGGGAGATGCAAGACTTCACCTTTGCAATGTTAGGTTTCAGTCTTACTTTGCTTTGACTCCTTCTATCTCCCTATTTTTTCCCTTTTGAATGAGAATGTTTACCCCATGCCATTGTTCTTTCAGATTATGTAGCTTTCTTTCAGATTATGTAGCTTGTTTTTGTTTTTGTCATTTTGTCAGAGGTTCAGAGCTATGAGTTTGCCTTGAGTCTTAAAAGGACTTTGACTTGTGCTTTGAGGTTTTGAGGAATGGATTGTTATTCTATAAATAAGGGCACTTGATGTGAGGATTTTCTGTTATGTTTTGGTCCTATTTCTTCATTAAAAGTTGCTTCTAAAACTACAAAACTCTGTATAGACACTAAATAATTTCTGGATTAAATAATATTCACTCGGGTCTTATTTCATGCTTTAATATACATGTGGGCCAAGAACAAATAGTAGTTTCTGGTGACACTAAGGTGTATAAAAAAACACAAGAATTGTTCATTCACAAAGCATAGTCTGAGAAATGAGCTCCAAGATGTACACTAAGTTAGTGTGAGGATTATTGGTAAAACTTGAACCTGGAGCAAAATATACAGCTAAAATCTACAAAAAGTGTAATATTCATGTTAAAACCTAATGATCAGGATGTCAGAGGAAAGAAGATAAGTGCATTAAATATTACAAGTAAGGTCATAAGATTTGACTTAGCTTGGTAACTCTAGCATTAGTTTGTGAAGTGAACTGAAGGATAGAAGACACACTCTGGAAAGCTGACTTTTCAATCTGAATGTTAATACAAAGGCTTTGACGTGAATCCTAAAGGTGTACCAGACAGGCTGCAGTGGACACCATCGAATCCACTTCAAATACCCTCCTTAGGCAAGTGCAGCTGTGCCCCAGCTAATTTGTGTCTGGGCCTGTCTCAGTTCACATACCTGTATTTCTGTGCACAAATTAATTAAAGAAAATAGAAGGCTCACAAAAGAAATTATCCTACCCTTAAAGAACGTTCTAGTGGCAGGTAAATCAATGTCAAGGGAGGGTGAGGATGTCATGGCCCCTTTCCCTCAAGGGCTTCCACTTGTTCAAGTTCCTGAAAACAGTCTATACTCTGAAGATGCTAGGTTTCAGGTTGCAGCCAGTCTTCTGTTGAAATCACAATCGTCCTTGCCCTGCATTAATTAGTTTCCATAACTGTGCTCCATCATATGTCACTTCTGTGATAACAGCACTCCCAGTTTATGCATGGAGGCGACACATTGTGATATGGTAAGACAGAAACAGTTTCCCATGTAATACAACTTGTAAGATGAGAAATTCAAAACATTGGTGAAATCCAGCATGCACCACTGATCACTGGGTGACTGCAAGAACTGAGAGGGTGGAGCAGAAGTAAGTATTTGCCTGGGTGAGTGAGAAAGACATTTCCAGCTCTGGCCAATGTGTCTTGCTTTACCTACGTGGGCAAAACCCACCTTTAGAAGTTGGGACTCATCCAAAGTGATTCCCTCTCCAAAAGGCAAGTCCTATCCCTTTCATAAAAGCACTATGTTGGAGGAAAATCTCACATCCCTGAAATCTCATGGGGACAAGGGATGCTTCATTCTTTATGTGGCGAGTAGTATCAACATCCCAGGTCAGATGCACAGAAGCAGGAACACATCCCTCTGGAAGCTCATGTGTGCCTTAGGGTTAGGGTTAGGGTTAGGGTTAGGGTTAGGGTTAGGGGTTAGGGTTAGGGTTAGGGTTAGGGTTAGGGTCAGGGTCAGGGTCAGGGTCAGGGTCAGGGGTCAGGGTCACGGTCAGGGATTAGGGTTAGGGTCAGGGTTAGGGTTAGGGTTAGGGATTAGGGTTAGGGTTAGGGTTAGGGTTAGGGTTAGGGTTAGGGTTAGGGGTTAGGGTTAGGGGTTAGGGTTAGGGTTAGGGTTAGGGTCAGGGTCAGGGTCAGGGTCAGGGTCAGGGTCATTAGGGTTAGGGTCAGGGTTAGGGTTAGGGTTAGGGATTAGGGTTAGGGTTAGGGTTAGGGTTAGGGTTAGGGTTAGGGTTAGACAGGGTTAGGGTTAGGGTTAGGGTTAGGGTTAGGGTAGGGTTAGGGATAGGGTTAGGGTTAGGGTTAGGGTTAGGGTTAGGGTTTAGGGTTAGGGTTAGGGTTAGGGTTAGGGTTAGGGTTAGGGTTAGGGTTAGGGTTAGGGT